GGGATTCACGGTCGAGGGGAGCTGGGGAACAGGAATTCTTTGCGGCGGCGGATCTTCGCAGTAGTGGGAGTAGTTCGACAAGCAGGTGAGAAACACCACAACCTCCTCAGAGATCCCCAATCAGTAGCAAATCCCTTTGCATCTCCGTCCTTCTACTCCCAGCGATTTACCCTTCATCGGCAGCAAATCCAATCCCTAGAAATTGCAATTCTCAACCCACCGACCAGATCTCCCTTCCCGTTTCCAACCCTCGGGAGAAGAGAAATTGAAGGTGGTCGAGGAAGCTCTAGAATCTTGCTCGTTCACCACTCCGGCTCCGCCGCTGCCAAAAGTAGAAATTGAAACCTCCTCTTCCGCCACCGGAACAGCTACGAAAACACAGAGAACTGAAAACGATGGCCGCATCCTCTTCCTCATCCGAGAATGCGTCGACTTGGGGGATTCCGTAGCTCGAAGATGACAGAAGCTGGCAGCGAAAGCAGTATGCTGGGAGGACTGAGTTTGTGGTCGCAACCGAGAAACTCTCTGCCGATTGAGGGGGGTTGAAGATGACAAGTGATGGAGAAATCGGGGTGGGGATGAGGACGAGATGAGAGATAAATAAATTAGGTTTTTATTTTGTTTTAATTATATTGTTAAGTGATAGGATTAAATAAATAAAAAGTAAATTTAAAATTCCACGTCATTTTCCACATCAACGCTGACTAGACAATCTGTTAAATTTTAACGGTCAACGCCAGTCAACACTAACGGAGTAATAGTTCAGGACACAGATGGAATATTGAAAAGAATAGGATACAAGTGGCATTTTCGTCATAGTTCGGGTGTTGTAGTGGTATTAGCCCTATTTTTTTTCATCCGACTTTAGTCGAATCTTCAAACAAACGTAACTTTGTGCTCCGGTATCCGATCGTAGCGAGATATTTTTTGATTCCACATAACTTTTCGAGATCTTGCAAGCCGCAAACTGCCGTAGGCGGTTTGATCTCGCCTTCTTCTGGAAAAAATGTCGTTTGCTACCCCAAATGAGCTTATTTCCGACAGTACAACAAAGTTACTCTTCTGTGAAAAAATATTCTGTGATGGGTCAAATTTCGTCACATAATGTACATTTTGTGTGACGAAATTTACTGCTTGTCACAAAAAGCTTAAATTTTTTGTCAGACCTAGCAAAAAACTATTCGCGACGAAATAAATCTTTCATGTGATGCAGTCCAACGTCACCTTTAGTTCATTGTTTTATGTGGCGCAGTTTATCTTTACATATGTTAAATGTCGTTTTGGTGACAATGTAAGTAGTGACATAAAATATTATTTTTTGGAAAAGATATTTATTCTATTTGAACATTAGTGATGACCCCTCCCCTCTGTCTCTCTCTCATCTAATCGCTCTCGCGTAGAAAAAAACGCAATCCAACTCCAGAAGAAAGAAAAATGGCGTTATCCTTCTCCCAGGAAGATCCAATACTTTGAGTCACCGAGCAGTGTTGGGGTGGATGGTGTGAGGAAGGCAGCCAGCAGTTCCCCAAAGCTAGCGCTCTAATCAGATCTCATCTACCTTTCTTCACTCTCGCTTTCTCTATAAAAGATCCAAAATCCCTAGATCCATTGCTCCAAACTAATCCTATAAATCCCCAAATCTCTAGCATTATTCGATCTCGTAGGATTCGAGCAATCCAAGAAGGTTAGTAGCATCGATTAGCCCAGATTAATATCCTCAAAGTTCATGGTTGTTTCCCTTCTTTCGAGAGTACGATCTCGATATCCGCCTTTTCAGATTGGGGTGTAGAGGCGATGGTAGAACAATTTCGTCCATTCGATTTGACCTAATTCATGACAATTGACAAGTATCTTCTATTTCGTGTATTAGAGGTGGAGAGTTGCTTGGCTCTCAATTGGTCGTTCCTTGTGATTCTTCATGTTTCCATTTGAGGGATTGTGCTCTGTTATCCATATTGAAGTCAGTAAACTTGTGGAAGGAAGGTGGCTGGATAATGAGGAGTTCATTATTTGGATGAAATGATATTCAATTCCGCGATTGGAGGCCCTATTAAATCGAAATATTAAACAAACGTAACTTTGTGCTCAGGTATCCGATCGTAGCGATTTTTTTTTATTCCAACATAACTTTTCGAGATCTTGCAAGCCGCAAACTGCCACAGGCGGTCTGGTCCTGCCTTCGTCCCGATAAAACGACGTTAGCTACCCCGAACGAGCTTTTATCCGATTTCGCCAAACTTTGGATGACTATAACTTTGTTCTCCGCAATCTGAATGTCATGATTTTTTTTTTTATTTCGTCTAACTTTTCAAGGAATACAATTTTTATCATATTCATAATTTCTGAATGTACTTGGATTTGTGAAAAGTGAAGGTAAAGCTATTCCCAAAATCCCGTATATCCAGAAATAATTCCTGTTTTGAAAATTCCTTCCATGTAAAAGTTGTAGTCCTTCTAAAGTTACGCGAAATTAAAAAAAAATTCATGACGTTCGAAGTGCGGAGCCTAAAGTTATAGTCGTCCAAAGTTTGACGAAATCGATCGGAAAAAAGCTCGTTCGGGGAAACAAACGACGTTTTTCTAGGACAAAAGCGGGACCAAACCGCCTGCAGAAGTTTCGCCATGGAAGATCTCGGAAAGTTAAGCGGAATAAAAAACACGCTACGATCGGGTACGCGAGCACAAATTTATGTTTGTTTGATGTTTCGACATAAGGTTGGATTGAAATAAAATATCCATACAAACTGTTGCATAGGGGGTGGGGGGGGGGGGGGGGGGTTTGCACATGAACCGCTGCTTCCCGACGTAGTTTAGTGAAGTGGTGATATCTGGACCAATTGGTAAATGATTTCATAGAAACGATTAAGACCGATTCTGATTATCAAACAGACATAAGATTTCCACATGTGATTATTGTACACTTAATTATTGCTTTCCATATCTTTCTTACCAAACCCTAACAAATCCTTTAGGAATCTCTTTGTCTCTGGTTCTTCCTTAACTAGTCGCCTCACAATGATGCCTTCTTATTGGATAATAATTGCATAGCTCAATCAAAGGAATAAAATTCCTTGTTCGAGAACACAAGAACAAGGTATTCCAAAGAGCTTGGGTAAGCTTGTTTGAATGGGGTTTCGATGGAAACGAAAGGGAACTCTTACACCAGGAAGAGTGCTCGATCGTTATGATGTCTCCTTCGATGTAATCGAGGGGGTTTGCTCGATTAATAGGCCAATATTCAGCAAGCTTAATTTGATCGCAACCAAAACAAGACAACTTCACAACTCAAAACGTTGGGAATTTTGGGGTTATCTTCATAAATCAACTCTGAACTTCACAATACATGAATGAGGGCTTTTAGATGCATAAACAAGCTTAAACAAACCTAAACACTAATGGAAACTAAACTAATTCAGCAAGGAAACTAAATTATACTAGTAATCCGAATCCAACTCTGAATCCTAATGTCATGCGGATTTCTGGCAGCTCGAGACAACATCTTTGAGTGCCTCGAAAATTATCTTCCCAGGCCATTCGTCTTCATCCAATTCCTGCCCTTGGTTTAGTAAGTACTCTTCTTTCCATGGCAACTCGAATTAGTCTCTGCTTGTGTCCCAAACTCCAGCTATTAAGTTCCAAAGTTGGCACCTTGATCTCGCTATTTGCCTTAGCCAAAAATGGCAGATTCTCGGTTTTAATTTGGCAACTTGGAGAGCTTCAATCATGGTTTTCCATACTTCAATTGGAACTTATAAGCCTTCCATCTTGCACAGGTTTACTTCATCTTCAAAAACAAGCCATCAAACTCAAATTTTCATTGAATGAATTGATCGAACCAAGCCTCCAAAGTTGGTAACATGAAACACATAAAAGACTTGACCAAAATTCAGATTCTTTCTGCCTTGTGAAACTAACTTCTTGATCAATCCATGAAAGCTCAAAGGTTAAGCAATTTGGGATCATATCAATTAGGATCAAATATTAACATATAAGTCCTTTACATGTCACATTATCACCCTTACCGTCTCTCTCATTCTCATAGAATCCTTGTCTATTTGCTTAGGCACTGATATCAATATTCTCAGGTTCACTCGAAGTACATTTAACACCAATCATATTTCCTTGTTCACAATCATATCTCTCAAAGGTAAATAATTGATTGGTGCTTTCCCTTCTTCATTGAGCACTTGATCATCCTCAGTTTTATTGGCTTCCTAATCTTCAGCAATTCATTCGTCATCAGATTCGATATCTTTAAATATACGTTCAAAATCTTTCTACATTGCCCTCTAGATAAGCTTTGAGTTATACATCACGTAGACAAGGTTACTAGGATATAGTCCACAAGCTGAGCTAGGGTTGTAGTCGGCCTTGTAAACGCATGGGAGGTACAGCCGACCCGATGATGTACGGAACTCTGAAAAATATGGAGAACTATTCCTCCATTGTGCATGGTAATGAAAGGTAGGCAAACAACAGGTTAAGAAGACTTTATAACGAGCGTAGACAAGTCTGAACGGGTTGATGGTCGAGAAAACCACGTATATCGCGTAATTTTCTTATACAAGTAGAAGGTCTCTAACGCAAGGTTTTTTTTTAATATAATTATTATGAAGCGTGTGTATGGGTTGGATTTTTTTTGATGGATATTGGTTGAATTTTTGAACACCCAGTTGTGACGGCTTCGTGAACAAAGAAGGCAGCCAAATAATTCAGGTATTGGCTTACGTACGTCTATGCGCATTGCGCGTCGGGACTGTTTTTCTACGTACGCATTTTCACCTTGACCTTGTGATTCAGGTCATTGGCTTGACCCTTGAAACTAATTATATATTCATCTCCTCTCCCCATTCTATTCTACGATGGAATGTTATAATACGTACACCATTAATTAATTAATTAATTGTCAAAGGACACGCTAAATTGGTTTGCCTGCATGTAGAACTAGAACTATATATAAAGAGCGCTCAGCCCTCATTCAACCAACAACCACAAGCAAACATCTTCTTACCGAAGGCAAATTTAAAAACAAAGATTCATCAGCAAGCAAACTGATTCTCTCTCTCTCGACTCATTTCCCCCACAAAACAAAAGAAAACAAAACATGGTGAGCTCAGATATCTCAACCGCCTCTCCTAGAAAGCTGGAGGGCAAAGTGGCAATCATCACCGGCGGAGCTAGCGGCATAGGCGAGAGCACCGCCAGGCTGTTCGTCCACCATAACAACAGGTATGCCTTGGAAACCCTAAAGATGTGTTCTCATTGATTTTGATCGATCTTATATACACCGTTTGTTCATTACAGGACAAGGATTACTAGCTGTGAATTTGACAGAGCAGAGGTACGAAATGCAGAGAAAGGAGGGAACAGAAACTGAACAAAGGAAAGAGACGTTGTGGCCTCAGGACACAACGACGACGTCTTGATTCTCTTTGGTTTCGGTAGACAGCAACGGCGACGTTTCGACCTTCTTCGTCCCGTTTAGTTGAGACGGCAGCGTTCCAGGTATCTCGCGCTTTGCTTTGCCTGAAACGACATCGGACCAGCTGCTTCCTCTTGTAGCCGTTGAAATGGCGGTTGAAAAATCTGATTTTTTCTCTGATACCCCCCCGCAAGCTGGTGGGCAGAGATTGTGCACACCAAGCTTGGAGAGGAGATCGGAGAAAAGGGCAGGTGGGAGGGCCTTGGTGAAGATGTCGGCCAATTGGTGCAGTGAAGAAACGTGAAGCAGCTTGATGATTCCATTCTGCAGTTTTTCCCTGACCAGGTGACAATCAAGTTCTATGTGTTTTGTTCTTTCGTGGAATGTTGGATTCTCGGCAATGTGGACTGCTGATTGATTGTCGCAGTATAGGATGGCTGGCTGTTGGTGATGCACCTGGAAATCACGGAGGAGATAGAGAAGGGATTGCAATTCACATGTGGCATCAGCCATGGCCCTGTATTCAGCCTCACAAGAAGACCTGGAAATTGTTTTCTGCTTCTTGCTGCGCCAAGAGATGAGAGCAGTGCCAAGGTAGACACAGTAGCCAGTGACTGATCTTCTGGTGTCCATACAGGCTGCCCAGTCTGAGTCACTGAAGGATTTGAGGTGAAGATCTGATGTAGAGGGGAAGAAAAGACCAGTGGAAGGCGCAGACTTGAGGTATTTCGGAATTCTTGTGACTGCCTGATAGTGTTGATTGCTAGGATTGGACATGTACTGAGCCACCTGTTGTGTAGCAAAACTGATATCAGGGCGTGTTGTGGTTAGATAGATTAGTTTGCCAACTAATCTTCTGTAGAAAGATGGATCTGGGTAGGGGTCTGAATGATTGGATGATAGGTGGAGTTTGTAGTCCATTGGGGTAGAAACAGGCTTGGATAGAAGAACATATGCTTCTTCCAATATCTCCAGTGTATATTTCCGCTGTGATAAATGAATTCCTGATGAATTTTTGGCAACTTCAATGCCTAGAAAGAACTTGAGTGGACCCATATCTTTGATGCTGAATGTCTGATGAAGGACCTGTTTGAATTGACTGATTTCACCCATGTCATTGCCTCCAACTAGGAGATCATCAACATAGTCTAACACAGAAGTGAATGATGTATCAACTGACTTTGTAAAAAGAGAATGATCAACTTGACTGGGCTGGAACCCCTGTTGAATTAAGTAATCTGCCAACTTAGCAAACCATTGTCTTGATGCCTGTTCGAGTCCATAAAGGGACTTTTTGAGTCTGCAAACAGGATTGGGAATGTGTGGTGGGGGCTTGTAGCCTTTGGGAAGCTTCATGTAGACTTCTTCTGTGAGGTCTCCATGAAGAAAGGCATTGTTCACATCTAGCTGGTGAACATGCCATGATTTAGATGCTGCAATAGCCAGAAACAACCTCACTGTGGTCATTTTGACCACAGGAGCAAAAGTATCCTGGTAATCGATCCCTTCCTGTTGATTGTAACCCTTAGCAACCAATCTGGCTTTCTCTCTTTCAAGACTTCCATCTGAGAGAAACTTGTATTTGAAGATCCATTTTTTTCCTAATGGTTTCCTCTGTGGTGGTAAAGACACCACATCCCATGTCTGGTTTCTTTCAAGGGCATCAATTTCAAGATTGATGGCATTGTTCCACTCAGGACTGAGAGCTGCCTCCTCATATGACTCTGGTTCTTTATGACATGAAATGTTTAGGATATACCTCAGGTGATGAGGTGAGAGATTAGTGTAATCCAAAACATCAGATAAAGGATAGGTAATACCTGTGATCTGTTGCTGCAGAGAGTGACCAGTGGAAGAAGTCTGCTGAAGCAGGTTGCAATGGTAATGTTGTAGTTTGGTGGGAGGTTTGATTGTTCTAGGTGGCTTTCTGATGGCTATGGGAAGATCAGATTGTGTGGAGGGAGGTGGAGGAGGACTGGGAGGTGGTGTGGGAATGGGAGGTGGTGATGGTATGGTGGGGATTACTGAGGTAGGAGGTGGGTCATCTGGAGCAGAAGTAGTTGGGATTGGATATGGAGGAGGAGGGGTGGTTGGTAGGTCTGGGGATGTGATATGGCTGGGTTGGAATGGAAACTCAGTTTCATAGAACTGAACATCTCTGGAAATGAAGACCTCATTAGAGTGAAGGTCATATAGTTTGTATCCTTTAATGCCTGAAGGATAGCCTAGGAAAACACATTTTCTGGCTCTTTCTTGGAATTTGGTTCTGTGGTTTTTGAGGGTGGATGCATAGCAGAGACATCCAAAGACTTTTAAGTCTTGGAGGTCTGGTGGTTTGTTGTATAGTTTCTGGTAGGGTGTGAAATTGGCTAGGACTGGGGTTGGGACTCGATTGATTAGAAACACAGCATGTTTAACACATTCACCCCAGTAGCCTATTGGAAGATTGGCTTGGAATTTTAGGGCCCTAGCAACAGCTAGGATGTGTTGATGTTTACGTTCCACCTTGCTGTTTTGTTGTGGAGTTTCCACACAAGACATTTCATGTGTTATGCCTGATTGAGCAAAGAAATCAGACATTTGAAATTCCAGACCTTGATCACTACGAATGGTTTGGACATTTGTTTGGAATTTTGTTTTAACCATTGTGCAGAATTGTTGTAGTTTAGGTCTGGTTTCAGCCTTTGATGGCAGAAGGATGATCCATGTCATCCTGGAATGGTCATCTACAATAGTTAAGAAGTATTTATGACCATCATAGGTAGGATAAGAGTAGGGGCCCCAAATATCAACATGTATAAGTTGAAAACAGTATGTAGATACAGTTGAACTTGAAGGAAATGGAAGCCTCTTCTGTTTGGCAAAATGACAAACATCACAAGGGAGGCTGTTGTTGGTTTCTATGGATGAACAAAGTTGATTCAATGGAGGAATTCGACTATGGGAAACATGTCCAAGTCTGAAATGCCAAATGTCTAAGGTAGGGGAACTAACAGCAGCTGTGATGTGTTTAGGTAGACTAGCTAGGTTAAGATTGATGTGGTAAAGGCCATGGGAAAGCTTAGCAGAACCAGTCACTCTCTTCAGCTCCAGATCCTGTATTGTGCAAGAGTCAGAAGAGAAGGTTAAGCATAGGGGTCTGGTGGTGGTTAACTTGCTCACTGATATGAGATTGAAAGTAAAATTTGGGACAAATAGTGCATCCTCAAGGACCAAACCATTGAGGCAAAGCACCTGACCAATATGAGTAGCCTGTACTCGATCTCCAGTGGGCAAGTTTATGTAAATGTGATCCACTTTTCTGGATGTATGTAAAAAACTGAGGGAACTGACAATGTGGTCAGTTGCCCCTGTGTCAAGTATCCAAGGAGTAGCAGAATTGCTATTGTTGAGTAAATAGCAAGAATGGTTACCTGAGGGATCAGGTTCATAGTGAGTGGTAAGTGCTGCTGAATGAGCCTGTTTGCCCTTGAGGTTGTCAGTCATAAGAGACATTAGCCTGTCATAATCAGCTTTAGTAAGCTTGAACTCAGGTTGAGGGTCTGAAGATGAACCACTGTCAGTGGTGTTTGCCATTGCTCTTGAGCGGATGGGAGGTGGTCTGGCTTGAGAAGGTGGTGGATAGCCATGCTTCTTAAAGCATTTGTCTTCAGTGTGACCAATCCGTTTGCAGAATGTGCATTCTGGTGGTTTGGTTGATGGGTTCTGAGTCATGGATGAACCTCGAGAGGACAATCCTGGGGGCCAACCATGTTTGTGATAACATGTGTCTTCAGTGTGGCCTGGATTGTTGCAGAAGGTGCAATGGGGGCGCTTCCCAGGAGGGAAAAAACGTTTGTTCCCCTGAACAGCAAAGGCTGAGCTTTCAGCAGTGATTGTTTTGCCTTGTTGAGTGCCATAGAGTTGGCGCTCATGTTGTAAGGCTCTCTGAAAAACCCTATCAGTGGGTGGTAATGTGTCTCCAAACAGGACTTGAGAGCGAACAGTAGCATAGTTATCATTCAGACCACGAAGAAACTGAACAACAGAGTTGACATCACGGTAGCTAAGAACAGCAGTCATAGCAGCACAATCAACAAAACTGGTCTCTGTGCAACGACATGGATTGATGGGCTGATAGTTGTCCAGCTCATCTTGAAGAGCAATAAGATTTCCATAGTATTCAGTCACGGTTTGATTACCTTGTTTAATCGTGCCAATAGCTTCAATTAGCTCGGCAACACGGATCATGTCACCTTGACCATAACGAGCTTTGAGACTTGTCCAAGCTTCTGAGGCGAGCTTGGCAGACATGATGGTCTTCTTGATGCCATGGTCAACAGCCTGTTGAATCCAGCTGAGGACCATGATGTTGTTGCGACTCCAAGAAGAGAACAGAGGATCAGTGGGATCAGGGGCAGGAATGGCGCCATTGATGAAGCCAAGTTTGTTCTTGGCGGCCAGAGCATTAAGCATCGCTTTGCTCCAGTCATTGTAATTGGTGGTGGTCAGCTTCTCACCTACCAGAAGGAGTCCAAGTTGTTCAGAACCATGGAGATAAAATGGATCCGAGGTGGGATCCTGTATTTGGGTGGTTGCCATTGTTGGGCGGCGGCTAGGGTTGCTCTGATACCATAACAACAGGTATGCCTTGGAAACCCTAAACTTGTGTTCTCATTGATTTTGATCGATCTTATATACATCGTTTGTTCATTACAGGACAAGGATTACTAGCTGTGAATTTGACAGAGCAGAGGTACGAAATGCAGAGAAAGGAGGGAACAGAAACTGAACAAAGGAAAGAGACGTTGTGGCCTCAGGACACAACGACGACGTCTTGATTCTCTTTGGTTTCGGTAGACAGCAACGGCGACGTTTCGACCATCTTCGTCCCGTTTAGTTGAGACGGCAGCGTTCCAGGTATCTCGCGCTTTGCTTTGCCTGAAACGACATCGGACCAGCTGCTTCCTCTTGTAGCCGTTGAAATGGCGGTTGAAAATTTTGATTTTTTCTCTGATACACCACGGAGCCAAGGTCCTCATCGCCGACGTTCAAGACAAACTCGGACAGTCCCTCGCCATGGATCTCGGCCCGCCGGAGATCGTCTCCTTTGTCCACTGCAACGTTACAAGTGATTCTGACCTTGAGAATGCCGTTGATACAGCGGTGTCAAGGTACGGCCAGCTAGACATCATGTACAACAACGCTGGAATCGGAGGTAACCTCGACACCACCATCTTAAACTCGGACAACGCCGACTTCAAGAAGGTGCTTGAAATCAACCTCTTCGGATCCTTCCTCGGAGCCAAACACGCCGCCAGGGTTATGATTCCCGCAAGGAAAGGTTGCATCTTGTTCACCGGCAGCGTTGCCGCTTCTATAAGTGGCGACTTGTCTTACGCATACAAGGCTTCCAAGCATGCTATTTTGGGGCTCAACAACAACTTGACCGTGGAGCTGGGCAAGTACGGCATCAGGGTCAACACCACTTCTCCCTATGGAGTGGCCACTCCCATGGTCACAAGCGGCATGCAAATGGACAAGAAGGCTGCTGAGGAATTCATGTCCGCCGCTGGAAACTTGAGAGGGGCTATCCTCGAACCCGAGGATGTTGCTCGGGCTGCCTTTGTTGTTTAGTATGTGTTAAATCTGTCTTTTTTCATGTTCTGATTCATTCTTGGTTTATCTCCCGAACTAGTCATTGGTGATGGCGGTGATTAGGCACAACACAAGAAAATGAATTCGGAGAGCAAGTGAAGCAATGATGGTTAGCCACCGGAGGTCTACCAGTCTTGTTAGCTAGTTGTCGTAGTTGTGTTTCTATTTGTCAAATTTGTGATTCTTTGTAATTATGTGTATAGTTTATGTACTTCCCATATTGTACTTTATCTATGTAAGAGTACATTTTTTAATCTAGAAACGAATGACAGTTGAGATACTACCTCCGTCTTTCAATAAAAAAATCACAAGCTACATCGACTTGTTGTATCCCGAAAGTAGTTCTCAAGAGACAACTAACTGTCTCGAAAAAATACATAAATAATGACTTGTTGTTTCGAAAGAAAGTTATTCAGGAACGATTTGTCCTCTCGAAAATATTGCATTAGGGATGACCAAGTGTCCTCAAAGATTGTTTTTGGCAACACATAATGTCTCGAAAACCCTTCATAGGGGGCGATTTGTTGTCTCCGTAAATACTTCATAGGAGACTACTTACTGTCTTTAACACAGTTCATACGAGATGACGTGTGGTCTCCAAAAACACTACATAGGGGACGACATGTTGTCCTAAAATCATATTTAAATGATAATAAATTAATTAAAATTTTCAAATTTTTGGAGACGGCTATGTGTCCCTAATATTAGAGACGACTTTCATTTTTTGTTCCCAAAATAATAGAGGACGGAACCTATAGGCACCACCCACGGGGACGACAATTTTCGTCTCCAAAAGATTTGGAGACGAATAACCCATGTTTTGGAGACGACATTTTTTGTCTCCAAAACTCACAAGTTTTGTAGTGCTAATAAACTACGCCGAGAAGCAGCTCTTTGTATGTATATATATTTTTTTTCATCCGACTTTAGTCGAATCTTCAAACAAACGTAACTTTGTGCTCCGGTATCCGATCGTAGGGAGATATTTTTTGATTCCGCATAACTTTTCGAGATCTTGCAAGCCGCAAACTGCCGTAGGCGGTTTGATCTCGCCTTCTTCTGGAAAAAATGTCGTTTGCTACCCCAAATGAGCTTATTTCCGACAGTACAACAAAGTTACTCTTCTGTGAAAAAATATTCTGTGATGGGTCAAATTTCGTCACATAATGTACATTTTGTGTGACGAAATTTACTGCTTGTCACAAAAAGCTTAAATTTTTTGTCAGACCTAGCAAAAAACTATTCGCGACGAAATAAATCTTTCCTGTGATGCAGTCCAACGTCACCTTTAGTTCATTGTTTTATGTGGCGCAGTTTATCTTTACATATGTTAAATGTCGTTTTGGTGACAATGTAAGTAGTGACATAAAATATTATTTTTTGGAAAAGATATTTATTCTATTAGAACATTAGTGATGACCCCTCCCCTCTGTCTCTCTCTCATCTAATCGCTCTCGCGTAGAAAAAAACGCAATCCAACTCCAGAAGAAAGAAAAATGGCGTTATCCTTCTCCCAGGAAGATCCAATACTTTGAGTCACCGAGCAGTGTTGGGGTCGATGGTGTGAGGAAGGCAGCCAGCAGTTCCCCAAAGCTAGCGCTCTAATCAGATCTCATCTACCTTTCTTCACTCTCGCTTTCTCTATAAAAGATCCAAAATCCCTAGATCCATTGCTCCAAACTAATCCTATAAATCCCCAAATCTCTAGCATTAATCGATCTCGTAGGATTCGAGCAATCCAAGAAGGTTAGTAGCATCGATTAGCCCAGATTAATATCCTCAAAGTTCATGGTTGTTTCCCTTCTTTCGAGAGTACGATCTCGATATCCGCCTTTTCAGATTGGGGTGTAGAGGCGATGGTAGAACAAATTCGTCCATTCGATTTGACCTAATTCATGACAATTGACAAGTATCTTCTATTTCATGTATTAGAGGTGGAGAGTTGCTTGGCTCTCAATTGGTCGTTCCTTGTGATTCTTCATGTTTCCATTTGATGGATTGTGCTCTGTTATCCATATTGAAGTCAGTAAACTTGTGGAAGGAAGGTGGTTGGATAATGAGGAGTTCATTATTTGGATGAAATGATATTCAATTCCGCGATTGGAGGCCCTATTAAATCGAAATATTAAACAAACGTAACTTTGTGCTCAGGTATCCGATCGAAGCGATTTTTTTTATTCCAACATAACTTTTCGAGATCTTGCAAGCCGCAAACTGCCACAGGCGGTCTGGTCCTGCCTTCGTCCCGATAAAACGATGTTAGCTACCCCGAACGAGCTTTTATCCGATTTCGCCAAACTTTGGACGACTATAACTTTGTTCTCCGCAATCCGAATGTCATGATTTTTTTTTTTGATTTCGTCTAACTTTTCAAGGAATACAATTTTTATCATATTCATAATTTCTGAATGTACTTGGATTTGTGAAAAGTGAAGGTAAAGCTATTCCCAAAATCCCGTATATCCAGAAATAATTCCTGTTTTGAAAATTCCTTCCATGTAAAAGTTGTAGTCCTTCTAAAGTTACGTTAAATTAAAAAAAAATTCATGACGTTCGAAGTGCGGAGCCTAAAGTTATAGTCGTCCAAAGTTTGACGAAATGGATCGGAAAAAAGCTCGTTCGGGGAAACAAACGACGTTTTTCTAGGACAAAAGCGGGACCAAACCGCCTGCAGAAGTTTCGCCATGCAAGATCTCGGAAAGTTAAGCGGAATAAAAAACACGCTACGATCGGGTACGCGAGCACAAATTTATGTTTGTTTGATGTTTCGACATAAGATTGGATTGAAATAAAATATCCATACAAACTGTTGCATAGGGGGTGGGGGGGGGGTTTGCACATGAACCGCTGCTTCCCGACGTAGTTTAGTGAAGTGGTGATATCTGGACCAATTGGTAAATGATTTCATAGAAACGATTAAGACCGATTCTGATTATCAAACAGACATAAGATTTCCACATGTGATTATTGTACATTTAATTATTGCTTTCCATATCTTTCTTACCAAACCCTAACAAATCCTTTAGGAATCTCTTTGTCTCTGGTTCTTCCTTCACTAGTCGCCTCACAATGATGCCTTCTTATTGGATCATAATTGCATAGCTCAATCAAAGGAATAAAATTCCTTGTTCGAGAACACAAGAACAAGGTATTCCAAAGAGCTTGGGTAAGCTTGTTTGAATGGGGTTTCGATGGAAACGAAAGGGAACTCTTACACCAGGAAGAGTGCTCGATCGTTATGAGGTCTCCTTCGATGTAATCGAGGGGGTTTGCTCGATTAATAGGCCAATATTCAGCAAGCTTAATTTGATCGCAACCAAAATAAGACAACTTCACAACTCAAAACGTTGGGAATTTTGGGGTTATCTTCATAAATCAACTCTGAACTTCACAATACATGAATGAGGGCTTTTAAATGCATAAACAAGGTTAAACAAACCTAAACACTAATGGAAACTAAACTAATTCAGCAAGGAAACTAAATTATACTAGTAATCCGAATCCAACTCTGAATCCTAATGTCATGCGGATTTCTGGCAGCTCGAGACAACATCTTTGAGTGCCTCGAAAATTATCTTCCCAGGCCATTCGTCTTCATCCAATTCCTGCCCTTGGTTTAGTAAGTACTCTTCTTCCATGGCAACTCGAATTAGTCTCTGCTTGTGTCCCAAACTCCAGCTATTAAGTTCCAAAGTTGGCACCTTGATCTCGCTATTTGCCTTAGCCAAAAATGGCAGATTCTCGGTTTTAATTTGGCAACTTGGAGAGCTTCAATCATGGTTTTCCATACTTCAATTGGAACTTATAAGCCTTCCATCTTGCACAGGTTTACTCCATCTTCAAAAACAAGCCATCAAACTCAAATTTTCATTGAATGAATTGATCGAACCAAGCCTCCAAAGTTGGTAACATGAAACACATAAAAGACGACCAAAATTCAGATTCTTTCTGCCTTGTGAAACTAACTTCTTGATCAATCCATGAAAGCTCAAAGGTTAAGCAATTTGGGATCATATCAATTAGGATCAAATATTAACATATAAGTCCTTTACATGTCACATTATCACCCTTACCGTCTCTCTCATTCTCATAGAATCCTTGTCTATTTGCTTAGGCACTGATATCAATATTCTCAGGTTCACTCGAAGTACATTTAACACCAATCATATTTCCTTGTTCACAATCATATCTCTCAAAGGTAAATAATTGATTGGTGCATTCCCTTCTTCATTGAGCACTTGATCATCCTCAGTTTTATTGGCTTCCTAATCTTCAGCAATTCATTCGTCATCAGATTCGATATCTTTAAATATACGTTCAAAATCTTTCTACATTGCCCTCCAGATAAGCTTTGAGTTATACATCACGTAGACAAGGTTACTAGGATATAGTCCACAAGTTGAGCTAGGGTTGTAGTCGGCCTTGTAAACGCATGGGAGGTACAGCCGACCCGATGATGTACGGAACTCTGAAAAATATGGAGAACTATTCCTCCATTGTGCATGGTAATGAAAGGTAGGCAAACAACAGGTTAAGAAGACTTTATAACGAGCGTAGACAAGTCTGAACGGGTTGATGGTCGAGAAAACCACGTATATCGCGTAATTTTCTTATACAAGTAGAAGGTCTCTAACGCAAGGTTTTTTTTTAATATAATTATTATGAAGCGTGTGTATGGGTTGGATTTTTTTGTGATGGATATTGGTTGAATTTTTGAACACCCAGTTGTGACGGCTTCGTGAACAAAGAAGGCAGCCAAATAATTCAGGTATTGGCTTACGTACGTCTATGCGCCTTGCGCGTCGGGACTGTTTTTCTACGTACGCATTTTCACCTTGACCTTGTGATTCAGGTCATTGGCTTGACCCTTGAAACTAATTATATATTCATCTCCTCTCCCCATTCTATTCTACGATGGAATGTTATAATACGTACACCATTAATTAATTGTCAAAGGACACGCTAAATTGGTTTGCCTG